GACAAAACAGTCAGTTTAGAATTGGTTTAACAAAATAAACGTTTTCTTAAGCTGCTGAAGATTTTCGCCATTAATGGTTGTTTTCGCCTAGTAACGGGTAATTAAACACTACCTGGGGTGTGAGGCCCCCTGCAAAAGAAAACTGTAATCTCAGAATTTTAAACCGAAAAGGCAAATATCTGAATTATTTGCATTTTTTAGAACTATTTTATAAAATTTACATAGTTCGAAAACTATAAAGGACACTTTTTGACAATCGCCAAACTCTGTTAGAACAAGTAATGTTAGACAAAAGTGGGTGACTCCAGACAGTATATTTGAGTCATGGAGCTAGCATGTGTATTCATATAACTTAAGTTAACCTAATGAGTTTATTTTGGAAATAATTTTACTTGAGGCACATTTGGATTTTAAAACAAAAAAGCATTGAATTTAAATAAAAATATTTGATAATTTCTGTTTGAATTTCTGGGGTGAGGAGTTATTATTTAAACTATTTAAATATGGGCTATAGTCCTCATCTTTGTTGTTATTATCACAGCATTTTGGCCATTGTGCCTTCTGACCTTCATCAGGTGTATGTCAATCAGCGTAACCTATAGGGAATTTTGAACTGAACCCTTTATTTAATCTACTGGGGTTGATTGTTCTTTGTCCACTGCTCATGTCTGGAAATATCTTTGCAGTGAAATGAGAACAATCTACTCTATAGATTAAATAAAGTGTTCAGTTCAAAATTCCCTGTAGGTTACCTGGATCAAAATACACCTGATGAAAGTCAAAGAGCACAACAGCTGAAATGTTGTAATAACAAAAATGAGGACAACAGTCCACATGTAAACAGTGTAAATAAAAATATTTTAACAAAATACAACCAAGTGGAAGAGATATTCAACTGCATTCTCAGTATATGCTGTTAAATTCTTGTTTATATGTATAGAAAATAATTTTGTAACAGCTCAAATGTAAAACTTCTAACTATGGTGTTATATAAGTGAAAGCTAAATTGAAAATTAACATAAAATCATGACTAAAGCACATTTCTTTCAAGATAGTCATTTTTGTAATAACCAAATGCCTTTTGTCTTCAATTTATTAACAGAAAAATTATAAAAGAAAAAAAAAAGTAATACAAGTGAGGAACACTACTAAGAGCACCAATTAAACTAATATTTCCATGAAGCACAACACCTAATACTAAAATGTAACTAATAGAAAAAATCTATGAGAGAAAATAAAAGTATTTAAACTATTTACATCATTTAGACAGCTGTCCTCATCTTTATTGCCATATTGTATGCTCTGGCCTTCTTCAGGTGATATTAATTGGAATTTCAAATTGAACCCTTTTTTAGTCCATGGGGGTAGATTGTTCTAATTCCACATGCCATACTTTCTTGAATATCTCTCAACCAACACTTTTATCTACCAGGCCATTGGTTGCGTGAACCAAAAGTGACTTGACTGAAAGAATTGTGAGTTCAATACCTGGCCATAGCAGAGGGAGCAAAAATGTGTAGAGTTACCAAGGGGAGTTAACTGAAATTGAGATATCCAAAAAGGTATGGCATATGGAATTAGAACAATCTACCCCAGTCTAAAAAGTTTGGGCTTCGAATTCCAACTAATATCACCTGAAGAAGCCTGAAGCATACAACAGCCAAAATATTGTGAATATGGCAATAAAGAGGAGGACAACAGCTGAAACAATGTAAATAATTACAATACCTTATCTCAGAAATACAGAGATGAAGAAAATAAAATGTAAAACTGAAAAGCCTTCATAAACACACATCATAAACTTTATTTCCAAGAAATCAAGATATTAGAAAAATACACTTAAACTTGTACATGCACACAACAATAGTTTCCAATCTTTCATCACAAAAGAATTAAACGATTTTTCATTGGCAATTTGTTGATTATTTAACACTATTAATGCATGTATATGAAACATAATTTAGTCACTGTAACAGGTTATTCACTGAACAAACAAAGCAGAGTGTTCACACATGATATCAAATTGTGATCAATTTTGTTCTTTACTAATATTATCTTTATTACAATTAACATATGTTTATGAAAAAACAGGTATCCATTAGCAACAGCAACCAAAGATGCTTATCAGAGCAGAAATTAGATCAGTACTAATGTGACAGCCTACAAAACTAAGTTCAATTCAAAGTAATGGGTAAATGACACTTGTTAACTACAATTCTTCATGCAATGCTTACAATTTTTATCAAGTTAATAGCAGCTACTTAACATTGCAAAACTGAATTACATCTATGTTATATTCCATGCTAATAGGAATATATACTTGAAAAAAAAGTGGATAAAATAAGTAAAGGTTTATTGTAAAAACCAGTACAATAAGAATAAAGGTAACAGTTATGCACAAGCTCATCGCAAGTCAATCCAGTAGTGAGTGCTACTACTGGAAGGTTGGCAGTTCTAGCGTAAGTATGAGTTGTATTCGACAGATCCCAGCTAGTTGGTATTTACTAGAACCTCCCCCATGAGGGTAGATGTGGCACAAGGCCGGGTTTAACGTGGGTCTTCCGAGCCCGTAGGCTTGGCCAAAAAATGCCTGTAGAACCCACATAAACAGGATTGGGTTGGTCAACCTCCCCGAACGAGACTCTGCCCTTCGGCAGAGCCTCGCCTGGATTCCTCTCTGCCTGAAGTTCAACCATCTAGCTGGAACAGGTTGCAGCTAGTATATTTAGCTACCATGCATGTGGTATAAGGTTGGTTTAATGTGGGTTCTACGAGCCCATATGCTCAGCTAAAAATATTCCCTTTTGAGCCCGTATAAACAGGTTCAGGGGAAGTCTACCTCCCAGAATGAGACTGCCTTTCGGCGGAGCCTCGTCCGGGTTCCTCTCTGCCCAAAGGCAGAGCGTTCGACCGTCTAGCTGGAACAGGTTGCAGCTAGTCTCCGTAGTCTATAGACTTACAGATACTTATAGGTAGTTACTACCTATAGTGTAGTCACTCATGGGGATGACAGGTTATTCCATTACATCAGTCTATTTAAAGTCCAATATCAAACAAGAATATTTGAAAGGAAAAACTTGATTTTTCCAAGATTTCTTTAGTAAAATTTTTTTTTTTTAGTAAATTAAGAAAAGTTCAGGTCACTTACCCAGTTAGCCAAGTTTTGCGTCAAAATGCTCATCAGGGACAGATGAAATAAATCTATCAGATTTATCAAACATCTGGCCAGCCCTGATGAGCGTTTTCATATGAAATGCTTGAGTTGGCTAACCAGATAGGCTATTTGAATTGTTCTTAATTTATTAAATATTATAGCTCTATATCTATTGAGTGCATAAAAAAAGAAAAGAAAAAAATTCTCATGTACTAGAATTTTTTGCAACACACTGGCATCTGTTAAAATTATCACAGTATTTGGTATTGTTAATGGCATTGCTAACATTTTTTGTCAAGATTTACAAACTCTACTCTCCCTACTGTGTTTATATTTATAGTGTTACTAGTGTGCCATTATATTTTACCAGAATGAAATATATAAAAACTTAAAGAAAAGATATGCAAAAAATAATATTTCATTTTTATTAAATAAGTATTTGTTATTTTAATCATTAAATTGTTTTTAAAATAGAGGGAGTATTTTGTATGTTAAATAATAAAACTTATTTTTTCCCTTCAAATTAATGACAATTTATTGTACTAAGCTATGCACCCTAGTAAGACCAATTGTAATTTGTATTCTCTTACCTGTTTGCACTTCTCCCCAAAATTTGGTTTTGATTGGTCAATGTATTGCTATTTTAGAGGGTGTGACAGACAGACAGATGGAATAGAGAGAGAGAGAGATATATTCACAGTTGTATTATTATTATTATTATTATTAATAGTAAAGGTTTATAGTGACAGGCACTGCTCTTTAATTTTATCTATATTCTTAGTCAATAAAATTGATAAAAATAAGTAATTTTTCACCTATCATATGGTAATTTTTCATGAAATCTTATCTAAACAGGTTTTCTTTTTGATTGAGAAAGTACAGAGAGTTGAAATTCTAAATAGTAAGGTGAAAACTAAAAAGATATATTTTGCTCTCAGGTAAGAGATCTAAAGACCATGATGCAGGATATGTAATAATATATATATACTTACAGTATGCATGAATTGGTCAATATCAATTAGTTCATTTCTATGCTTCTAAACCAGTGTTACTTCAGACATATTAATTTAGATGTATAAAAAATTAATTTTATCCTAATACTCGGAAATGATTGTGTCAACACCTCATCTTAAAAAAGAATTAATCAAAAATATGTTGCACTTGAAATGGTTATTCTTTGTTTGGTTTGTTTTACTAGCATATCAACCTTTGTGGGTCATTTAATGCTGAAAAGCAGATTTTTATTTAATAATATTTTAGGAAAGTTTTAAGTTTTATCATTCATGAAGTATAATTGAAAACTGGTTCAAGAGTTGTCTGGATAAAAGTTTGGTGTATAATTTAGTTTCTCTCAAATAGGTCAAAATGTTTTCTATATTTATGTTTTTGAAAAGTTCCTTAAGGCTATTCATCTTATAAAAAGCATTTAAGATATTTCGTACATAATTTTATACTTTCAGGGTGAAGCTATGTTTTTTTTTTTTTTTTGGATATATAGTTTTTAATTATTTACATTGTTCAGACTGTTGCCCTCATCTTTATTGCCATATTCACAACATTTTGGCTGTTGTACACTCCGGCCTTCTTCAGGTGATTGTAATTTTGAACTGAACCTTTTGTCCATTAAAGTAGATGAGGGCAACAGGCTGAACAAAGTAAATGATTAAAATACCTCATCTCAGAAATATGGACCAGGGTGGACCTGGGAACAACAGCAATTAAGAGGTGGTTCCAGGTTCCTCAAATCCCCTAATCTCAGGATCAGAGACCTTGCTGCCAGATGTAGTATATCGTCATTCTCAGAACAAGTTAATCTAGAAAATAGTAAGATGTAAAATGCACTTACCAGTAATGATGAGTTTAACTGCTGAGGTATTTCCGTAAAGGTCCAGAAGGAACCAGAGCTGAAGATGTGTTGGAATGCCATTTAAAAGAATTCCTGTATAGTGATTGTTAACATAAAAATGTAACTCTCCTACAGAATTAACATAAAATGTCAATATATGGTATGAGACAGCAAACTGTTCAGCAACTAGCCGCACCCAGAAGCCATCTTGTTTTACAAGCTCAGGGCACGCATAATGGGGCAGTGTCTGTTGTTCTAAAAATTGCTGAGGATCGTGCGATGTAACACCAATGCGCAATGCACCTTTCCATGTTGTGATGCATGTTAGCTGGATGGAAATCCGGCAACCAATTGCAAGAGGTTGATCACCAAACACAATTCCATCACAGAAGCGTTGTTTGTCACGATAGGCATGAAGACGATCGTTGGACAGAGTGATCGCTGACCCATGAGCATGGTGAAATCTCATGTTCGTTGGTCTGCAACGCCATGAGAATCCGTAGCTCATAGGTGGCTGCAAGGAGTATCAAAAGTGCCAGGTGGCATTTTTGTCAGGCTAATATCCCATGCAATATAACAAACCAAGTTTATCTGAAATAACAAAATAAATTAAATGTTAACTAATTATTGAGATAAAAAGAAAAATTGTTTTGTTATGGTTTTAAGCAATTGAAATATGTACTTATAGCTTTAATACTGGAAGAGATATGTTTACAGGAATTATTGCTGTTATTAATAAATACTCTAAGTACGTATATATATCCCATACATAAAGACATCCATATACATCTACCTTTTCAACACCCCATATATATATATATATATATATATAAAATCCAATTTCACATATAAGCCCACACACACACACACACACACACACATATATATATATATATATATATTCATACGCACACATAGACACACACACACACACACATACACACATATATATATATTTTAAGACATTTTTGCATATCTTTAAGCATATACAACACTCATATGCCACACTGATAATATATATGTATATTGTTATGCCCGGGGTTTCGTTGGGACTACGATAGCCGGGACGCATCGAGAAAATAAAAAAAAAAAATAAACAAGAGTATCCCAGGGTTCAATGTAGGATTGATGAAAAGAATGATGGGAGGGGAATTCTCCAATTCCAGATGTCGGTGAATGCAGTGAAAAAACGAACAATATGCAGACACAGAACAACAGAAGACGACACGAGAACATATAATAAAAATACTTTATTTATAAAATATACAGTGTATTAAATTAAAGAAAAGAAAAGAAAACTAAATAATAAAAGGGATGAGGCGACAATTGGTTGATCAAACATATATCAATGCGACGAAATACAGACAAAAATAGTGACAGCAGATTAAAGGTTATATATATAAACATATGTAAAGACTTAAAATTGTAGGGATCGACGTCGATCAGTTGTTATCAGAAATAAAGTTTGAAAGAAAAGATGTCCATTCAATTCTCCGAGCGAAAAGGGTGGAGTTGCTAATGTCCTGGTATAAGTCCTTGATTAACGCCGTTCAATCCTTGTCGAGGGCGAGTAGCATACGCAGATAAACCACAGGAGTATCGACGACTTGGGTTTGAGAATACCGTTCAGGATTCTTTCGTCTGTCATTCGTCCGATTCCTCTGAAAGCAAACAGCTGTCCAATTTTGGTGACGTTCGATTCCTCTGAAAGCAAACAGCTAAGTGAAGTTGTTATATTCCAACACGCGCGAAAAAAGAAACCGTTAGGGGTTAAGTCACGTATTGGCATATGAAAGTGAGTAGCCATTATCCATTGAACACTATTAGGGTCTCTTGTACTTATCAGACAAGCAGCGTTCGTCTGGCCTGCCTCCAGAGACCAGACAGGAGGTGGGGAAAAGGAAGGTTCTCTTTCAAGAACTGGCTTTTAGTTTAACCAGGTACAAAAAATATTCCATAATCTGCATATTCAAAGAAATAAAGAGACGACTGTTATTCTCATATCTCGTCGCAAATATGGTATTAAAAATATACTTGTAAAATCTAAGGTGGGGTACAATTATTGGTCTAACATAACAACATACAAAGCCCACTCACACAACAATAACCACACAAACCCGATACATACCTATACTCATATAGCATATACCAACATAGGTACAAAAATACAATAAACATAAATATATATAAATCTAGACCACAACATCAATTCATATGATGATACACAAGTGATTACAAGTATCAATCCATGTAATTGCCATATCTGGTGTTAAGATTCCAAGAATGAACTATTATAAGAAAGAAATTGTAAAATGGTGTCTGTGTCTGGATTTGGATATAAGCTCACTTCAGAGGTTCAGTAACTCTTCTGGATTCTTATATTTAATTATAACATTTTTCCAGTATACATAGGACACAACAATCTCAGAAGTTCTCAGGAGTTCGAGCTTTTGATATGAACTTCCATTCCAAATGCAGGGTGAGTCCTTTCTCAACCAATTCCTAATAGGGTTTGGATAACGCTGTTTGATTTTTCAGGGATCTATTGTTGTTAAGAATGCCTGTGATTATATAGGCATTGCTTACAATTCTCTGCTGATATTCTGATGTAGCTCTTCTTCAAGTTGACATTTTCTTTGGGGAAGATTGTTGCCTCATACACTACATTTTTTTTACATACATTTCCCCCCAACAGGATCTGTTTTTCTTCTACAATTGCAGGTGGGGCCGATAGCTAGTAGTATTTCATTACTATAAAAGTTTCTAAGTAGTTTACAATTGTGGGGAGAGATAATTTTCTTCACATTATTGACACAATAATATTTTATATCTTTTTTATCTTTTTTATTGAATATTTTATTTAGTGGATTTTTACTATCAAAATACTTATCTATTAACTTTATGAGGAAATTGCCTATATTAACATTGGAAAGTCTGCAGTAGGGTTGGGTTGAACCATATCACTTTCCTTTTTCTGTTTTTAGATTTATTAACTTCAAGTCTTCCTGATAATCTAATTCTTGTTTAAATTTACTATTTTTGAGCGCTTGATTGTATATAAACTTATTTTCATTAAAAAATTTTTGGCTAGAAGAAAGCCCAGTTTTTACAGTTTTGGGGATATAGTCTATAATTGATTTCACATGGTTAGAGTGGACATTGATGTAGATGGAGGTTTGATTTTCTTTTTGGAAAGGTTTAAATGTATCATTTGAGGGGTTAAGAGTAATGTCTTGAAAGTTCACTATTTTAAGTTTAGAAGATATGTCTATCTTAATAATCTTTTTGTGTAAGTTAGAGGTCAGAGGGGCAATGATTAGACCATCATCTCTATAAAGACCTACTAGATTTGTGTTAATTACTCTACTTAAGGTGTCTAATATATATATATATCCACCAAGTCTGCAATTTTGAGCCGAATGCCCCCATAGGTACATCAAAGTTTTCATTGCTCCTCTTAACCCAATTTGAGTCATTATACCTTAGTATTGATCTTTTAGATGCTAAAATAATATCCAGTTCATCTTTAGTTATATCAATATAATTTTTAGCAAAATTTTGGCTATTTATTAATAATTCCTCAGAAATTGATGGGTAGAAGTCCATGATGTAGCTTTCTTTTTATTTGGAATGCTCAGGAACCATTTAATCATGACTGAAGAATCTTTTCAATGATTGACAGAATGTTTTTCAACACAGATAGTGTTATTTTTTTTTTTATGTATGCTCTTAGAAATTAATCGCAATTCAGATTTGGAAGGATTAATTAAATAGGATTGTAAATTATTGATAAAGTTTGGTTTATGATATTTAAATAATAGGTATGTGCTTTTCTTTATATATGTATGTATATATATATGTATATATATATGTATATATATATACACACACATATATATATATATATATATATATATATATATATATATGTATATATATATGTATATATGTCTCGAGTAATAATTTTAAATTTCTACTTTTTCCTTTATTTAATTTTTTTTTTTAATTTTCCCTTTTTTTTAAAAAAGAAAACTATCTGCACTTCATTTCCTGCATCTTTTGTAATATTTTATTTTTATTTTTTTATGGTTTTTAGTTGTTTCTAGTATTGGTGTTGAACCTATTTCATTATAATACATAGTTCCTGGGTATGATGACAAACTATATCCAGCAGTAAGGCCTCTGATAGGGAGATTGAGGTTTGAAATAGCATGGGACCACCTCTTAATTGCTGTTGTTGCCAAGTTCATTATCCATTTTATCTTTTCCTTGCAGGTCAGCAATCTGTCCTATCTGGTTCAAGGTCTTCATAAATACTTCTACTTCCCCATTTGCTTGTGGGTGTAGCAGTCTTATTATTTATGATGATGGGTGTAGCAGTCTTATTATTTATGATGATGGGTAGCAGTCTTATTATTTATGATGATGGGTGTAGCAGTCTTATTATTTATGATGATGGAAAACCTCTTTTCTGATAAATTCTCATGTTTAAAATTTTCTTAGGATTCCATATGAGAATATTTCTTTCAGTTTAGCTTTCATTTCTTTGAATGATGTACTGCTTATGTCTTCCACTACAGGGTATCTTGATCTCTGATCTATCATAATGTCCATCTGGATATGGTCCTCTGAAGTCTAAGTTAACACTTTCCTAGCTTTTCTCTGGATTATTAGTATATTTATTTGGTTCCAGTCTGTGTTCTCTTGATACTACTTTTACATTCACGACATTGATCTATGATTCTGTCTATCATAATGTTAATTTTGAGAAACCAATACTGCCCTCTGAGTAGCTTTTTGGATTTTGTTCTTTCAACAGGTAATGTCCTATCTTACCTATTTTCTGCTGCAATTAGTTTGTTATAATAGTCTTGTTCTCTCTGTATATGATTACTTCTTTCATTTGTCTATGATTACTTCTTTCATGAGTATATATGGTCCCATCTCCAAATCTTTCTCTGCTTTTTATCCAATCATTGTTGATGACATATGATATTAGTTTTCTTAGTGTTGTATCTTTCTTTGTCTCTTCACTGTTTCAGCATTTTCTTTGCATCACTTTTCTTACTTCCTCTTTTGATTCAGGTACTTTTCAGTTAAGTACAGCTTCAATCTTTCTAGGGGTCTGGTTATAATTCATCTGATGATAGGTGTCCAAAAAATGTAATTTCTTTCTTCTCAAATTCACATTTTTCTTGATTGTATTTAATTCCACATTCTCTGGCTCTTTGTAATACTTTTTCTAGTGCTCTATTTTGTTTTTGTCTATCTTTTCCTCTGAGTATCTCTTTTTGATTCATGCATAGTGGTATGTTTCAGAATATATCATGATGACTCTGCTCTAAACATTAATCATTTTGCTCTGTAATTTACCCATGGTGTACTAAATGTGGCTAATTGCCTTGTTTCTTCATAGATCATTAGAATGATGATTTCCTGCTTTCAAGTTCATCTTATACAATATTTTGTATCTCTGTAAATGGTATGTAAAATCCTAAATTATGACTG